GCAGACAGAATGTGCAATGCAAGACTCCCAGCCCATGCAGGTAGGGCGTGCGAGTGGGGGAGAAGTTGCATCCCGCGAGGAGTCTTCTTCATTTGTTTTTCTATGCGTTATTTATGGTTGATTTCTTCAAGAATTCTATAGCAAATCGAAGACCATATGGAGAATTATAGCACATAGAGAAAGGGAGGAAATTATCTAGTTAAATATGTTATTATTATTTAATTAGTATTTTAATATTATATTTTATCCTTATGATTAATTAATTATTATGTCTGTATTAAGATTAGACTATATTATTATTTTATTAATTAATTTCAATCCTAAGATTAGGACAAAGTATTATCTAGGAAGAATCTTAATTAAGTTCAAATCTTTGTATTTGATTAGAAGTATTCAGATGAAAACTTATATAAAGGCCTAACTATTAGGCTATAAAATACATAATTGAGAATTTGGAACAAAGTTTCAATTTTTGTTGTGAAATAGCTTTTGCTAACTACAGTGTTCTTCAAGTTAGAAAGCTTCATACCGCCTTGTTGAGTCAGGAAATCGTGATCGACTTCTTGGTTAACCCGTGACATCTTTTCTTATTCTTTTTATTTTTTAGTTACCTGAATAAATTTTTAATATATTGATTGTAATTTTAGTAGGGAGAGTTGGATTTAAGTAATTAAGTTCTTGATTTTTGAATATAGTAGGTTCAATATTTTGGTCCATTAAGTCATCCTACTCTGCTCTGTGTCAAAAATGGTATGTATCATCAGTTTAGTATTAGTTATTCACCATAGTAAAATGAGGTGTCAGAAATGAAGAACATAAGAGTGATAAAGATGGTGAGATGCATGTTTGCTGAGAGTTTTCTTCCTAAATATTTTTGGACTGAAACAATTTATACTGCTGGCTACTTGATTAATAAACTTTTCATTAGATTTATTAAAGATATGACTTTAATTAAGGCATGGAGTGGATCAAAACCATGCACATGACACTTGAAAATTTTCGGTTCTGTATGTTACAAACACACTCTCTTAGTTAAAAGAAGTAAATTAGATGACAAGGCTGAAATTGATATTTTCTTGGGGTATGCAGCCCACACGAAGGGTTATAGAGTCTATAATGTGGCGATTAGGAAAGTTTTTGTGAGTAGGGATGTGTTTGATGATGAATTAGCATTCTAGAATTGTGATAAGAAACAAGTTGACGTAAATAAGCTCATACAAGATGCAGTTGTTGTAGCTTCAAGTTCTCGAAGTTTTGTGACTGAAAGTGTTTAACTTGATTTTGCAAAATTTTATGATCCAACTGCAAATACACCAACTACAAAGACCAAGTCATTAGCAGAGGTTTAAAAAATGTGAAATTTGACCATTATTGAACCAATAAACTATGAAGAGGGAAGTACAAAGAGGGGCAGCTTGTTATAGAGGAGGAGATTAATATGATCAATAAAAATGACACTTGACAGCTTGTACCAAGGCCTGAAAATGGGCATATTATTGGAGTCAAGTTGGTATATAGTATTTGATTTTAATTAACTTTGTGGGCTTATATGTGAGTTTATTGTGCATAAAAGACTATTAAATTTAATTGGACCCATTTAAGTGATCTGGTACGGTTAAAAATATTTTGGATTTTAATGCATCAAATTAAAGTGTGGGTTTTGTTTTATGTGCAGAGACTAAAAATGTAATTTCTGATTTTATGATGGATAAAATTGGAAATAACAAAAACTTAAGGATATAATTAAATGGTTATGGTCCCCCAATCGTATGTTAAAGTTTTTCTATTCTATCATCTTATCACAGAAAAGAGAGAGTGTGAAAATTTTAAAGGATCAATATATTGACCCCAGAACTTATAAATTTTGTCCAT